GAGTGCAATGGCGCGCTCTCGGCTCACCGCAACCTCCGCCTCCTGGGTTCAGGCAATTCTCCTGCCTCAGCCTCCTGAGTAGCTGGGATTACAGGCACGCGCCACCATGTCCAGCTACTTTTTTGTATTTTTAGTAAAGACAAGGTTTCACCATGTTGACCAGGATGGTCTCGATCTCCTGACCTCGTGATCCACCCGCCTCGGCCTCCCAAAGTGCTGGGATTACAGGCGTGAGCCACCGCGCCCGGCCTCCTTTCCTTTCTTTCCAAACCATTCACACTCCTTTTGTGAGGTGGGCAGATCTTGGATTATTCTTCCACTTTCCAGCCAAATGCACTTCAAAACACCCTTAGCATCAGTGCCTTCAAGAACCTGACCTTCCAGTTCTCCGGCAGAGAAGACCTACTGCTGCCGCTAGTCCTCATGATGACATTTGCTGGAGGCGGTAGGAAGAGGCCCTCCGTGAGGATCCTAACCCCTGTGGGAACTGAATCTCTGCAGCTGTTGCTTGCCCAGGCACATTTGCCTCCCAAGAACTTCCTTCATCTCCAGGCCTCAGACTTTGGGCCGTGGGGAGGGGGAAGGAGACTGGGCATAACTCATCAGACTTTCGGCTGTAAGAGCTGGAGGTCACCTGGGGGCTTATCTGTTCCCGGGCCTATCCCCACCCTTCCAGAATGTAAATGCTCTGAGGGAATGTGTCGTCGCCATCTTTTAGTCCTTTGAGTTCACCCAATCTCTCTCCAACCCAAGACTCTTTATCCACAGCAATTCTGAGAATGATGACAATCCCCCTCACCCCTCACCACCCGCAACACTTGCAAGCCTTAGTGGGATCCCCCTCATCGTCACCAGCCCTGCTACTCCAGCCCCGTGAGTTTTCCGCCTGTCAGCCAAGCAAAATGGCCTTCCTGCAGTCATGCGGCCCTTGGGTCTCTGCTCAGGGCTTCAGGGACCCTTTCCAACCACCCACCAGATCGTGGCCCCGGTGGGCGCTCCTGGCGCGGCCCTCCGCGCTTACTGTTTGTCATTGCGCGCCCAGCTCCAGAACCCCAGCCTTGAAGCTTCCCTCGGCCAGGAACAAAGCCTGTTTTGCTCACAGTTGCCTGACAAAGCAGGCAGTCGTTAGCACCCATCGAATAGGCGTGCTCAGAAATGGTCCCATTAGCTGGGACCGCCTTCCCGGATGCCCATCTGCCCCTAATCTTCCCTCTGGAATGCCGACTTTTTCAACACGTACCAGGAGTCCTTCCTCGGCCGGGAATCCTCAGCGTGCCCACAGTGGACAGGGCAACTGTCTACACCCCAGACTAACCCTGGTTTCCCCGAAGGACCGCAGAAGTTGGAAGCCCCTCCGAATTAGGGGCGCGGTGCTCCTCTGGCCTGCCGAACAGTCAGAGGAGAGGGAACAACATCCAACATCAGCCTCTACCACCGCTAGCGGGAATCCCAGCTACCGCGCTACTCACCAGCCCCGCGCGGCGAACCGCGATTTGGGGGCGCAGGGTTTCCAGGGGACCAGCGGCTGGAGCACTGCAGCCCAGGACCTGCAGACCCCGGGCCGCGGCCCCGCCCCGGCCCCGCCTGCTTCCACTCCCTCCCAGTCCTCAGGCCTCCGAAAGTCGGCCCATTGACCCAGCTCAGAGGGTGGGCCCGCCAAGGTCAAGAGTTCCCATCCTAAGAACCGTAGACAGCCCGCTATGCACCACCACTTCGAGCCTCATGCCAACTGGTAAATGCTGGTCCCACCTAGTGCTAGGATTTTTTTTCCCAGTCTTAATTGACTATAGAAACAAACAAACAAACAAACAAACAAACAAACAAACAAAAAAACTGAAGTATTTACGATTAAAACACGAGGCCGAGAGTGGTGGCTCACGCCAGTAATCCTAGCACTTTGGGAGGCCGAGCGGGTCAGATCACCTGAGGTCGGAAGTTGTTCGAAATCAGCGTGGCCAATGTGGCGAAACCCCGTCTCTATTAAAAATAACAAAAATTGCCGGGCGCGGTGGCTCAAGCCTGTAATCCCAGCACTTTGGGAGGCCGAGGCGGGTGGATCACGAGGTCGAGAGATCGAGACGATCCTGGTCAACATGGTGAAACCCCGTCTCTATTAAAAATACAAAAAATTAGCTGGGCATGGTGGCGCGTGCCTGTAATCCCAGCTACTCAGGAGGCTGAGGCAGGAGAATTGCTTGAACCCAGGAGGCGAAGGTTGCGGTGAGCCGAGATCGTGCCATTGCACTCCAGCCTGGGTAACAAGAGCTAAACTCCATCTCAAACAAACAAACAAAACAAACAAACAAACAAAAATTAGCTGGTCGTGGTGGCGCGTGCCTGTAATCCTAACTACTCGGGAGGCTGAGACAGGAGACTCACTTGAACCTGGGAGGCAGAGGTTGCAGTGAGCCGAGATCGCGCCACTGCACTCCAGCCTGGGCGATAGAACAAGACTCTGTCCTGGAAGAAAAAAAAAAAAAAAAAGAAAGAAAGAAAGAAAGCAAAGAAAACATGCAACCACCAAAAACCATCATGTAGGACCCAAAGGAAAAACAAACAGAGCTCCAGAATGAGACATGAAGGCATAAAGCATCTTAGAAAAGCCTATGCCGGGCCGGGCGCGGTGGCTCACGCCTGTAATCCCAGCACTTTGGGAGGCCGAGGCAGGTGGATCACAAGGTCAAGAAATCGAGACCATCCTGGTCAACATGGTGAAACCCTGTCTCTAAAAAAAAAAAAAGAAGAAAAGAAAGAAAAGCCTAGGCCTAGGAGGAGAGCACACAGGAGACTTGCATGATGTACAGGCACCAGGTAGAGGTAGGAGAGCAGAAAGGACCATGTGTAGGTAGAGTGCTACTAGTCAGTCCCCCCAACTTACCCAACCCAGTTAAAACCTTCTTAGTGAGTTTGTTTTTTAATCAGCTCAGCTGAAATCACAACACTTCTTTTTTTTTTATTTTTTTTTTGAGATGGAGTTTCTCTCTTGTTACCCAGGCTGGAGTGCAATGGCACGATCTCGGCTCACCGCAACCTCCGCCTCCTGGGTTCAGGCAATTCTCCTGCCTCAGCCTCCCGAGTAGCTGGGATTACAGGCAAGCGGCACCATGCCCAGCTAATTTTTTGTAGTTTTAGCAGAGACGGGGTTTCACCATGTTGACCAGGATGGTCTTGATCTCTTGACCTCGTGATCCACCCGCCTCAGCTTCCCAAACTGCTGGGATTATAGGCGTGAGCCGCCACGCCCGGCCCCCACAACACTTCTTTTCACTTAATTCACACTTAGCATATTCTTTTTGCATTATTATCTTTTTATTATTTATTTATTTATTTATTTATTTTTAGAGACGAGGTTTCACCATGTTGATCAGGCTGGTCTTGAACTCCTGACCTTGTGATCCACTCACCTCGGCTTCCCAAAGTGCTGGATTACAGGCGTGAGCCACCGCGCCTGGCCTATATATTATTTTTAATTAATTAATTGTTTTTTGAGATGGAGTCTCCCTCTGTCACCCTGGCTGGAGTGCAGTGGTGCTATCTCGGCTCCCTGCAGCCTCCACCTCCTGAGTTCAAGCAATTCTCCTGCCTCAGCCTCCTGAGTAGCTGGGACTACAAGCATGCACCGCCACGCCCAGGTAATTTTTATATTTTTTAGTGGAGACGGGGTTTCACCATGTTGGCCAGGATAGTCTTGATCTTCTGATCTCGTGAGCTTGGCCTCCTAAAGTGCTGGGATTACAGGCGTGAACCACCGCGCGCAGCCATGATCTTTTTAAATGTAGATATTGACATGGGGTTTAATAATTTACAAAATGCTTGTGTAAAATAGCTTCCATCAAATCCTCACAACCATCCTGGGAGGCAGGAGTTACTATTCTGTCTTTTGCAGGTGAGGAAACAGGCCCAGAGATGGTGAGCCTTGCCAAAGACCATGCCCTGCTGCACCAGGACTGAAAACCAGAGCCCCTGCTTTTGGATCTCCACAGTGGTGCTTCGGCTCCTTGGTAAAGTACCAGATGACTGGCAGGTGCAAGTTTTAAACCTCTTAGTGTTCCCAAGGTACCTGGGAGAGTGCTCTGTCCCTTGCAGGCAGACAATCCTTATCTGTGGGCTGAGTTGGCTCAGACAGAGTCTGAACAAGGTGATTGATGTGTGGGGAGGGTGCAGGGAAGCACATGAGGCAAGAGAATGAAGCAGTTATGTAGATTACCACCATCTTCGACCCACATGAAAATAAGCTGGAGGCAGGAGTAGCAAATATGCTTTCCATTAAACATGAAGAAACTAAGCCAACTTTTCAATAGTAACAGGATCTGACCCACTTGCATGACCTTGCCTCACTTGCCTCGCTAATCCCAGCCCTGTTTCCAAATTGCTATGTAGAAAACTGGAAAGCCAGCTCCCTGACCAAATCAGAATTTACTGATTTGATTTGATCTTCAGATCTTAAGGATCAAGAAAGACATATAGGATAAATAGGGCATTCCTTCAGCCATTCATTCAAGAAGTATTACACTATAGATTTGGGGAGAAAGGCTGGGAACAGACACAGTTTAATTCGTCTCTTCATCTGCCTCAACAGCCTCAGTGTAATGCTTGGCTCACAGTAGATGCTCAGTAAATATTTACTAAACTAAACTATGTTCCAGGAGCTTATTACTTAGCCAGGAGAGTAGCCCCATATGCACTATGATGCAATGTGGTCTTGAAATACAGAAGAAACCAGGCAAGGGAAATTAACTCACCTCTGATGACAGAGACTCAGGAGCATTCTGCATGTGGGGTAGGGATAGGCAGAAGGAAATGAGTGAGGTGTAAGAAGATGTGAGCAGATGTTGAGGTTTGAGTGTGAAGAGAATGAGCTGAAGGAGGAGGGCTAAAGGGAGATGGGTACTGTGGGACCCTCTACTATGGAGCCTGGGGTGTAAAGACTCTAGGGGTCTGGTTTAAGAGAACTGTGGGCTGATATGAAAAGAGAAAGGACGAGTCATCCTGTTGCTGGTCTTCATGGTTTCAAACATCAACACAAATCCTCGAGCTACCTACCAGATTGGTGATGAAGACCTGGGTATGGAGGAGTCTAGCAACAGCCAGGGTACTACTTGGGCAGCTGTCTCTGAATTGACTTCCTAATTCAACAGCAGCTGCCACTCCAACTTTTCCTTATTAATAGGCAATAAAATGACAGGCCTCCACTCCACTGTAATAACTAGTACTAAGATTCAGTGGGCAGAGGGTTCTGCCTTGCTTCAGATGTCAGCCTAAAAAAAGACACTAGAACATAATCTCTAAATATGTTCGGTTTACTCAGGAATAAGAAATAAGGATTATAAGCTGGAATGCATGGGATGGTAAGCCATGCGTGCAGCCACTGAGGAAAGGGTATAAGAGAGCTTCTAAGCCGGGCGCGGTGGCTCACGCCTGTGCTCATCCCAGCACTTTGGGATGCCGAGGTGGGCGGATCACGAGGTCAAGAGATCGAGACCATCCTGGTCAACATAGTGAAACCCTGTCTCTACTAAAAATACAAAACATTAGCTGGGCATGGTAGCGCATGCCTGTAATCCCAGCTACTCAGGAGGCTGAGGCAGAATTTCCTGAACCCAGGAGGTGGAGGTTGCAGTGAGCCGAGATCGCGCCATTGCACTCCAGCCTGGGTAACAAGAGTGAAACTCCGTCTCAGAAAAAAAAAAAAAAAAAAAGAATGTCTAAGCTGGGCCTAAGAGTCATAGCAAGACCCTTTCTCTAGAAAAAATGAAAACAATTTGGCCAGGTGTGGTGGTACATGCCTTTAGTCTTAGCCACTTAGGAGGCTGAGGTGGGAGGATTGCTTGAGCCCAGGAGTTTGAGATTATAGTGAGCTGTGATTACACTATTGCATTCCTGCCTAGGCAATGGAGGGAGGTCTAAAAAAACAAAACAAAAAAAGAATGTCTGCTGTTAGGCCGGGCGCGGTGGCTCAAGCTTGTAATCCCAGCACTTTGGGAGGCCGAGGCGGGTGGATCACAAGGTCAAGAGATCGAGACCAACCTGGTCAACAAGGTGAAACCCCGTCTCTACTAAAAATACAAAAAATTAGCTGGGCATGGTGGCGCATGCCTGTAATCCCAGCTACTCAAGAGGCTGAGGCAGGAGAATTGCCTGAACCCAGGAGGCAGAGGTTGCGGTGAGCCGAGATCCCGCCATTGCACTCCAGCCTGGGTAACAAGAGCAAAACTCCGTCTCAAAAAACAAACAAACAAAAAAACAAACAAACAAAGAATGTCTGCTGTTAAACCTTGTGACAGGACATTTATGAAGGATGAAGAAAATATTTTTTGTGAAGTTTTAAAAAAGTACTTTGAAACAATTCTTATTTCAAACATGTAAACATGACCTTCCTCTCCTTCATGCCTTCCTGGCCCTTTATTTATTTATTTATTAATTTATTTATTTTTGAGACAGAGTCTTGCTTTTACCTAGGCTAGAGTGCAATGATGCAATCTCAGCTCAGTGCAGCCTCCACCTCCTGTGTTCAGGAACGTGCTTACACGTCCGGCTAATTTTTGTATTTTTAGTAGAGGCGGTTTCACCTTGTTGGCGAGACTGGTCTCAAACTCCTTACCTCAAGTGATTCATCCGCCTCAGCTTCCCAAAGTGCTGAGATTACAGGTGTGAGCCACTGCACCCGACCTGACCCTACTTTATCTGGGTCTGACAAAAGTGATTTTATCCTGGTTTCTGCAATTTTTCCACAAAAAAATTATAGTTCAGTGAATGTGAACGGAGAGAAATTAACAATGGCTATGGGCAGAGTCAACCAAATCATTTCAACTCACCTGGGAGTTGAGACGGTGGCGGGTATAAGGGGGTAGAGTGTCAATTCTTGTTAAGAAAGAATGACAACAACTGGCTGGGTGCGGTGACTCACACATGTAATCCCAGCACTTTGGGAGATTGAGGTGGGCAGATCACCTGAGGTTGGGAGTTTGAGACCAGCCTGACCAACATGGAGAAACCCCTGTCTCTACTAAAAATACAAAATTAGCCGGGTGTGGTGGTGCATGCCTGTAATCCCAGCTACTCGAGAGGCTGAGGCAGAAAGGAGAATCTCTTGAACCTGGGAGACGGCGGTTGCAGTGAGCCAAGATCGCCCCATTGCGCTCCAGTGTGAAACTCCATCTCAAAAAAAAAAAAAAAAAAAAAAAGAAAGAAAGAATGGCAACAACCGTGCTGTCTTTACAGCTCAGTGCCTCCTGCAGTCTGTGGGGCCAACCTTAGATCCATTTGTGGGCAACAGTAAAAGGTCTCAAATTTTCTTTTCTTTTTTTTTTTTTTTTTTTTTTTTGAGACGGAGTTTCGCTCTTGCTACCCAGTCTGGAGTGCAATGGCGCGATCTCGGCTCACCGCAACCTCCGCCTCCTGGGTTCAGGCAATTCTCCTGCCTCAGCCTCCTGCGTAGCTGGGATTACAGGCATGCGCCACCACGCCCAGCTAATTTTTTGTATTTTTTAGTAGAGACGG